TAACCACCCTCTGCTCCCAGTTGGACGTAGCTCTGGCAACCCGCGGGTTCTGCTGGCTGGCCTGCTCTCGAGGAAGGGAGCATGGCGATGCTGGCAGACATCCCTGAGCTGCCACTATACGTGGGAAAGGCAACCACACTCCTTCCTTGCAGGCCCAAATGCAAACCCCGGTTGACCATGTTCAGCCTATGAGCATTGACATAATCCCCTCCCCCCGGCAGGGACAAAGGAACCTGAAGCTACAGTTTGTTGATCTAAGTAATCCTGGGCACATCTACACATGCAATTAATGCGCCTGAATTTTCTGTGCAAAAATTCAGGTGCATTAAGCTGTGCCCCGCGCACACATCTGAACATGCACCTGTCGGGAGTAAATTTGCTCCTGACGGGAGCAGTTCCGTCCAAGGTTGCTCCTGCCCTGCTGTGCCCCACTGCAGCAGCAAGGGGGGAGCTTTAGGTTCCTCTGGGTGCCGGTCCCAGGCTGGCAGGGGACTCGGGATGGTCCCAATCTCTGCAGGGCAGAGAGAGGTGTCCCAGGCCCTGATCTCCACGTTGCTGGCAGACAGCATCCTGCTGAGCCAGGACAGCTTTCCCTGCCCACCGTGTCTCCCTGCTCCCTAGGGTGACTGGGAGCAATTTGCTGATCAGTGTCTACATATGCGCTTTGGCGAATTAATTTAATGGACTGATTTCTAGTACCTATATAGATACTATAAAATGGCATGTTAGACTAACCTGCTGTGCAGCAATTGCTGTGCACATGTAGACAGTGATGCCTTACTGCACATTAGATTAGCCTTGTGTGGACACACGGGATTAGTCTTGTGTTTCCTTATCGCAACAGGCTGTCCGTCACTGCTGTAGGGACCCCAGGTGACCGGAAAAGACAGCCCTACCCTGGGACTGGCCATTGAACTTGCATTTTCTGCCTATCACTGCAGCCTGATTGGCCCTTGGCTCATACAGGACCACAAGCCCTGCACTGCAGCACTGTCCTTGTCCCAGTGAAGGCAGGTCCTTTAGCTGGGCTCCCTTCTGCAAGCAATGAGATGCTTGCAATTAACTGCAGGGATAATGCTGGCACCGAGATCCTGATCTGCAGGAAGTGATCTGCTGGCACGGAGGCTTCTGCATCTGCACTGAAACGATGCCCGTGAAAGTGGATCCAGCTTTGTAAAAAAACCAAACCAACAACTTGAGAGGCTGGAGAATGATAAGCATTCACCTCCCTCCTCCCCCCAGCGAAACCATCTCAGCTAGGAGGAAGTCTCTGTTGCAGAGCAGCAAACTCCTGGAAACAAGAGATGCATGAGGGCAAAAGCTCACGCAAAATTGCCCAAAATGAAGCATCGCTGAAGCGCTCTCTCATGATGAAGTGTTTTTGTGCTTCGTGTAATTTCCCTACCAAGGTTTCTTCCCCCCTTCAGGATGAAGAGGCGCGGCAGCGGAAACAACATGGAAGCCAAGCAAAACCTCATTGTTGTGGACTCTCGTGTTTCTCTGGGTTAAAATCCATCAAGAGGGATTCTTTAAGCTAAGGAGTCGGAAAGTGGAAAGAGGTCACCTCTGACCTCCCTATAATGAGACTCCATGCTCTAGTGCCTCCAGATGAACAGCAGCCTTGACATTTGGAGAAGCGGGAAGTGCCACTTCACTGCCTTACTGATGGGATGGATCGAGGCCTCCCTATTCATTCTGGCTCTGCTTTACGCTTTCTCATAGCAAAAGACTGAGATGAAAAACTCATCGGGAGGAAATTGCACGTGGGAAGAACAGAGGAAGGAGCTGTTGTGTGTGATTTAGTGACCGATGAGAGGAGGCAGCAAGGTCACCTCTGGAGAGAGCAGCTGGCCTGGAAGGGGGAGCCCTGCCGGCTGCTAAAATGATCCTTGTAACAACAGTTGAAGCAAGTTGCTCAGGCTCGGCTGTTAGAAGTGGAAGCTCAAAGCAGCTTTGAGCCAAGAAAACCAAGTACCAGGCAGGAAAGTTTCCTTTCTTTGGCTCAAAGCTGCTAAGCTACAGGTATGGGCCATGTGATGGTGACTTTGGTGACAAGCAAACAGGACACGGGGACAGGAAGTGAAAGGTCTCGAGCTAGCTGCACAAGTCCTGTTTGGGCGCATGATTTGCAACACCAGCTCCTAACCGGAGGGCTGACTCCAGGGCTGGCCTGGCTGCAGAAGAACAAGAGCTTCCAGTGACAGCAGGTTTCATAGAGTTGGGGAAGGAAAATAAATCGTGCTTCTTCGGGCATGCACCAAAGTGCTGGAAAGGAGACATCTGGATGGAGATGGGGTTGGGTTTTTTTGGGTTTTTTTTCTTTGCTAGGGTCAGGAGGGACCTGAACAGATCATCTAGCCTGACCCCCTGCCACAGGCAGGGAGGGATGGGGGGGGGGCAAAAACCCCCACAAGCGGAC